CGTCAAGCGATGTAGATGTGTTCTCTTTCGTGTGTGAAACGGCTCCCTACTGCGGGTCGATCCACAGTGGATAGTTAAATAATGTAGATGTCAACATGATTAATAAAATTAGATGTTAAAATTGTCTGTGTTGGAGTCCTTTCATCTCTTGACCTAAAACATTTAGCGATCACCGATCGGGAGACGACGAGTGACAGAACACAAAAATTCTACATATATATCTGGTCAAAGACAGTAAGAACCATCCACTCGGCAAAGTGTTAGTTCTCAGACAGCAGACAAGAATAGGCAGGAATTAAGCGGAGCGGAACAGTCTTCCTGTGACTAAACCGCTGCCCATTCAACATCAGTGAGGCAGAAGTTACAATCTAGTGAAGATGTATTAGATTCTAAAAGCGTGTTTCGTACGTAACGAGACGATAGTATTTAATTAATTTTAGGCTTATTTTTATCCATGTTCACGCAGTCCAGAGCAAGAAGTAATCTATAGGTTAGAGAACATTAGGTTGTAAATTAAGAAGAATCTGCAACAAATAATGTGGGGTCTGGAATAGTGACACCTTTAGGAAATTTTCAACTCATGAAAGACAGAATGGCGGTTCAAATAAGCGTGAAATAAATTGATCGTGCTGTGGAGTAAATTTCTTTTCCGCAACAGATATTTCATTTTTCAGCATTATACCTAGACGAACACTTCTCAGTTAATCCCCTGTGGTCACTCTAGACTGGGACTTACATGCAAGAACCAGATTGCAAAGGCTTAAGCCAAGGTCGAATCAAGAAAGAAAATCCTAAAGACGCTGGTTAGCTCAAGACAGGATGCTCATGTTTGTACCATCCCCACCACTGCCTTAGACCTTTCCTATTCCACAACAGAATATGCCTTAACAATGTGGATCAGAGAATTCCACGCAAAGTAAATCGAAGGTGGCTTAACGTCTCTTGCTGATCTATCACTGTATGTGTCTCAAGTCAACCAAAGTAGATGACATCTACTTGCTTAGTAGATTGTCACCCTTACGTAAGATGGATAGTACACGAGAAGATGAAACAGAAAATTAACTCTTGTCATGCGCTCCACGACGCTGAACCAATGACAATCAGGCTCAAGTCAACATTTAGACGAACCAGTGAACAACATAGCTTCTATTGTTCCTGAAGCAGCCAACTTAACAGTGTAGAACACAGGCTCACTCTCTCACTCTCTTTCTTTGGGTCCTACATAATCGCTACGCCTCGCTGGGTGTGATGACCTTCTGTTCCTGCGTGCATGGCCTCCAAACAGCTGTTACTCTCTATAGAGCCAACCGTCAGAAATGGGGTTATGCCACCGAGGTTGATCCGAACTGCCAATGGGAGAAATCACAAAATATATTTTTAAGACCCGTGCTTATTTAACGACCTTGAAATTTCAACAAGTGGGAGAACACTCCTAAGAATTACTGTACACCAATGAAACCTTACCACCCCAGGCAAGGCTCAGTGTCAAACACTGGATAGATGTGGTGTAGCGACTGGACCAGAAGAAGAATATATCTAACATGATAGATAGATAGATAGATAGATAGATAGATATGAAATTAAATGATTGGGATAGATAGATAGATAGATAGATAGATAGATAGATAGATATGGAAGTAAATGACTGGGATAGATAGATAGATAGATAGATAGATAGATAGATAGATAGATAGATATGGAAGTAAATGACTGCGATAGATAGATAGATAGATAGATGATAGATGAATATGAAAGTAAATGACTGGGATAGATAGATAGATAGATAGATAGATAGATAGATGAATAATAGATATGAATAGATATGGAAGTAAATGACTGGGATAGATAGATAAATAGATGATAGATATGGAAGTAAATGACTGCGATAGATAGATAGATAGATAGATAGATAGATAGATAGATAGATAGATAGATAGATAGATATGAAAGTAAATGACTGGGATAGATAGATAGATAGATAGATAGATAGATAGATATATATGGAAGTAAATGACTGGGATAGATAGATAGATAGATAGATAGATAGATAGATAGATAGATAGATATGAAAGTAAATGACTGGGATAGATAGATAGATAGATAGATAGATAGATAGATAGATAGATAGATAGATAGATATATGAAAGTAAATGATTGAGATAGATAGATAGATAGATAGATAGATAGATAGATATGATAGAAATGACTGGGATAGATAAATGAATAGATAGATAGATAGATAGATAGATAGATATGAAATAAATGATTGAGATAGATAGATAGATAGATAGATAGATAGATAGATAGATAGATAGATATGAAAGTAAATGATTGAGATAGATAGATAGATAGATAGATAGATAGATAGATAGATAGATAGATAGATGCAATTTGTTTAGCTATTTTTCCACTAGGCTTAAGGTGGAAAGATAAATCTGAAGTAACACAAGACATTACGAGACCTACAAAACTGAACAACTATTTTATTCAAAACTGTTGTTCGATCCAGAATTACCTATTGGGAACAGAAGTGCTCACAATCCATAATAATCATTACTGATGTTATAAAACTATCATTAATTAGGAAATGAAGCATAATCAGCGAGGGTTCCAATTTTGCTAGTTACTACCAATTTCTATATCTAAAAAAATGAATATAACACCTTTTATCAGAAGTTGATTTATAAGCGTTGTTTGTCTTTCGAAAACGTGGAGCATTCTGGGCTGGATTTTGAACTGATTTGACCATAGAACATGGCTTGATGAAATCTATTAAATGCAGCAACGGTCTTATTCGTAAAAAAAAGATCAACAAAATGCATCCACAAAATGTGGACAGTCATTATTCAATTCTTTGACATAATACCACAACGAAATATGTATCTTGAGTAATCTTCAGCGTTGTACAAGTAAACAACACGAAGAATTGGGAATAAAGCAGAGTAAAAAATTCCAGAAAGTGATTAATTGGCTCAGAAATCCTGTCTCTTTTAACAGGAATTGATCTCATCTCCAAAACTTGGGTACAGAACATTATAATTTCAAAATGACGCTTTGCTTGTTACTTTTTTGTTGTCAACGTATACTTCCTTGATACTTCGTCAATTCCAACGTAGGAGGACACTTTGTAATCGCAAATACCAATTCTAATAATATGTTGACCATGTTCACCATAGTCTATGAATATAGAATGCAGCGCAGTGCGTAATCTGGACTAAATAAAACAACGTTAAAGATTAATACTCACAAGTCAGACACTCTACTGAATCTGACTATATCGCCAATACCACCAGCAGCTTTTCCGTACTTCTTCAGACTTCGATATCAAAGGCTGGCAGTAATATTTAGCCACCAGCCCCACGAGGGTTACATGTGGCACAAAGCCGGGATTATGGTAGCATATCCGAGCCTACGCCCAAAATATTCCCTATTCGAACGCGTATAAACGGGTTCAGGGACAGTCAACCTCCCCGAACGAGACTCTGCCCTTTATACACTTCGCATTTTCAGCCTTGTGATTGATTAACCCTTCTATTGGCGAACTATAAAATGAGTCAGTTCATTTTGACTGGCTCACTAGTACACCAGGGTACCCACAAATTTCAACGTAATACACGGTTGAACAATACTGATATCAGACGCCTTCGCATAATACTTGTACTAATAGTATATAGTGTAGTGAATAGAGTAGAGAATAGCGGTCCAAATGGTAATAGACTATAGAGCAGAAGTAACGATCACATATGACGTCACGCAACTTCCCTCTCTCTCTCTCTCTCTCTCTCTCTCTCTCTCCATATATATATATATATATATATATATATATATATATATATATACGTTTTTCTCTATGGTCACATGATCTACCTAATTCAATAATGAAATAGCCTGCGCTTGTTCAATGGCGACCTATGTTCAAACACAATTGTCGTCAGCGACACATTATTCCTATATAACACAGAATTATAGTAAATTACAACGTATAGTATGGGATATATGTGAGACAGTCTCTAATTGGTGTACAGTAATTGTTAGAAGTGTCCTCCCACTTGTTGAAAAATTGATGTTATAGATTTGCATTTCATACCTGCCATATAAGTCGAACCCTAGTTTTGGAAAGATAATTTTAGGCGTCAAAATTCGACTTGTACCCCGCAATTTACGGTAATTGGAAATGATTATTAACAGTGGCAATGTAGAAAATGGGTAGATTACCATTCAACATATTGATGAGGATAGGTTTCAGTAAGGCTGTAAAGAGTGTAAAATAATAATTCTCTCCCCCCAGTCCATTCAAATTCGTAGGGTTCAGAAAGAAGGAAATAATTGGCGAACCTGTGTGAAATTGATTTTGGAGCATTGAAAACCTTGACTTCACAGAAATAAGCCGGTCAGTTGTGAAGAAGAAGAAAATAAATTACTCTGATGTAATGTGAGTGATTTCGTTTCTGTTTCTCACGACCAGAGTTGAAGTTCTCGCCAATGTAAAAATTATTCAACAATTATATTATTAGCCTCTAACAGTGCACTTAAAAAATATTTTCTCAAAAAATTCTAAGTATTTCAAACTATCTCTATTCGCCTAGTTTTAAACATATTCAACGTTATATCTCTACGGTTTGTAATGAAATCCCTTACCTTTGTTTTAAACATTTTGAATATTATGTTCATAGAACAGTTCATTCAATCAGTTCTATGAACATTTCCTCTTCCTGACAATTTGTTAAAGATACAGACTTGTGATTTATTTTCATGAAACGGGCTGCTGACACGACTTCAAGTGTCTGAATTCGTGAATATGTTCCATGTGTTTCTTCGTCATTATCACCCTTCAGTAATCTTTTGGCGTGGGTAAATTAACTGCTCATTTTAAACGCTAAGCTTCACGCCACTATAAAGCTAAAATCTAAAAGGTCAAGTGAAACAGTGGTTGATTTTGCAAACCGCCATTCGTTAGTGAGTTATTTAATTCGAACCTTTTGCAAAAACATTCCAACATTATGACAAGAACAAAAAAAGGCGATGATGCTCCATAC